AAGTTGCTCTTCCTCTGAGCTAGTGCGGGCTTGTACTGAAAAGTTAAGACAATCAAAAGGTCCGTAATTAAAGATTCCAAAATCGTATTTCCCAGATAATTGGCTCCCGCTCACTGGGGTTCGTTACGTTCGTCGTTTTTACAGCCTCGATGGTTTCAAGGAACAATGTCGAGTAGTTAACGCTTGGAAATTTGAAGCTCCGCTCCGTATGCCCGCTTCTGTAATGTGTTGGCAGGTAGAAAAGTTCCCATAGAGAAAACTCTACTGACAGGGAATACTTGTGCTCATCTGATGTATGATCTATATTTAATTTTAATGGTAAAATTCTATTTGCATTGTGTTTTTTTTTGGTGGCCTCTTGCAATGGTCGAAATACCGGTCAAAATCGATCTTAATATAAACGAGTTTGTGAAAACGCGGTAGCGCCGGCAAACACGTGAAACGCAGATGAAAACCCCGGTCTTGGGTTCCTGAATGTCACGCTTGCAATCGAGGCAGCTTTGTTTATTACGTATACACTGTATACTATTTCCTAGTTAATCAATACGACGTTGCCGTCCTGTTTCCAGCTGCCGTTTGGTTGCGTTTCTATATTGAAAACCAAACGCAACCAAACACGGAAAACATCACCCGGTTCCTTAAAATATTCGACTTTGGCAACCATTAATTAACATTCAACTGGCTTAACTCAAGCCTGCCGCGGCACTAGCAGCAGCAGCAGCAAATCCCGCTCCGCCTTTTCGTGTCGCATTAATGGGTTTTACTGAATGATGGGCTGTTCCTCGTCCATGCATTCTACAGCGAACTCACTCAGGGCTGATTTTCAAACCAGTATTTCCGACAAACAGAAATTAATAATTAAAAGTACATGGAATACAGTGGAAGAGAATCGAACAAAAGTTGGAAAACAAACTTTCTTAAGGTAAGGATGCTTTGAACATTAAATAAACGGGTTCAAAAACACTGTTGTGGATTACCTTGAATTAAAGGACGCAGTTTTTGTCTAACCTATGAGAAATTGGTTAAACATTTGACTTGTTTACCAAGCTGACTCACGGTGATGCCGTAATACTTTGTATCACATTTTTTTATTCTGGGCTCCAGATAAAGTAGGTTCTTATATCATTACATTTTTCCCACAATTTGATTTGAATTTTGTAGGTATGGTTCTAGTGCATGATTTAGAAAAACAGGCTCTTTTATTCATTTTCAATGACCTTAGAATAAACTGTATGATTAGTTTAATCTACATACATATTGCAATTTAGGTTTCATTTCCCAAAAATAAAACAATTTCACCGGTATTTTGTTCTTGGATCACTGGCTTGGTGTATTTAAAAAGGCAAATTTTATGTAATATCCCTTTTAATTTGCCTGCTTAAAATAGTGTTACGCAAGCCATGAATAAAAAATTCAGTAACTTTTTTTGGTCTGAAACGGGAGCCTATATCGAGGAAGTATGTTGGTGATTCAAAGCTGTGTCATTCTTAAATATCTTTTGTTACTTGACCGAGAGGCGATTCATTCTGTCTTAAAAAGTAAACAAATTCTAAGCAAACTGCCAATACGAATTGCAAAACATTCTCTTTTAGATCTACACAACATCCTCTCTCGTATAAATGAATTCGTGAAATGCATTTTTAGGGCAGGTGTTTGTCGAGGAAAATAAATAACTCAAGCAATCAATATTTTTTAGCTTTGAAAAGTATTTTGTTTTCCTGTTGAAAGCTTGGTACAAGCGTATAGGGAGAAACGACACAACTTGAACTCAACATGTTTTAGTTGAGAATGATTCTTGTTTTACATGTACTAATTAAAGTAGCATATTATTCCTCATCGTGCATCGCGCTGTCTCCGTGTGACTCATATGCGATAAATAATATTGATACAAACGGTTGCGACAGACGCAATTACCCCTTTGAATTTTAACTAGGCTTACATAGTTTGTAAAAATTACCTAGCTGACTAAGCCTGCGAGAGCATCCGGTATTTTCGGCTCTAGTTTCAGCGGTTCGCAGGCTACTAGCTGACTTTCAACCCATGCAGTTAAAATATATTTTTAGCACAGAACAAAGGAGAGCATTTGGTTTTCCACTTCTCTTTTGGCGCTTCGTTGCTATTGAAAGTGCTTTAATTTTTATTTGCGCCCTACCGGTTTTCAATTAAGCAAGACTAAAGTTAGTGTTATTACTCTAAAAAATTAGGAAAGACAGAGGAATATAATGAACCAATCAAAAATCACAGTCAATACTTGCAGCGGTCGTCAACGGCGTAAAAGCGCATGTGAAAAATCGCAAGTGGTTCTTACTTTTTTCTGATTGGTTAGAAATGTGTCGTGAGATTTGTGAGCTATGTCAGTAATCAAAATGTGTTTCGATGCAAAACCGGTGTAACAGCATGCAATTATTACTTTCGAAACTGAACTAAAAAGAGCTGTACTCGACAATGCAACAAGATTAACATGCTCCTCTATCATTTGTGCAGAGTTTTTGAAGTGATGCCCGAGTTAAAGACCAAATTTCCAGGCAAAGTTGACATAGAACAGCTCAAATCCACGCGTACATTGTACGGTCACAACAAAATATTAATGAAGAGCATCGAAAATGCAGTGGCCTCTTTGGACGACAACGAAAGTTTCGTCACATACCTTGTGGAACTGGGCCGGCGACATCAGGTCAGGCCGCTCAAAGCACAATACTTGGAGGTGAGTTTCCCATGTTTCAATTAAGTTATTAAATTTTTTGAAGATAAAAGAATAAACAAGCATTTCCTTGTGAAGTGTGAAGTATTATTCTCTTTAAATTTTAAGGTAAGCAAAGGGCAGAGACAAAAAAATCGTTTATCGTGTCTTGTTTGCATATCTTACCCGAAAAAACTGCAAATTCTTTTCATTTGTAATTTCTCCTTCAAAAGCATTTTCCTTGCGAAGTCAAAAATAAAGGTCACACCATTTAAATATCAGAGACCTCGTAGTTCTACTCTGAGTGTTTGATATGAGATGAAACACTCTGTCTCGTGTTGATATACACTCAGTGCTCTCAAAGACGGACAACACTCAATAACTTTATATATGTATGCGAACGACTAAAAGTTAGGATCATGATATTAGGGGCAGTTTAGTTATCAAAAAATACGAGAAATAGCGTACAAATTATGCATATATATATAAATATTTGAGCCTTGATTAACTCCGTTTTCTTTATTCCACAATTGTATTGTTCATGTGACACTTATCTTAAAACGTTTCTTCAATCACTCTGAATTAAAAACTTTTAATTTTCTGCAATACCATGCTGTTGTAAAATCATGAATGTCTTTCTCTATTTATAATTCATTCTCTGTAGGTTAAGGTAGGGTGGCACTTCGTGTTTAATTATATACACTTTTTATTTTTGTATCTATGTATTTATTTTACAAATTTATTTCTTATATAACTGTTAATCACTTTCCAGGTTATATATGAAGCACTGATGTTTTCATTTAAAGACCTTTTCCAAGAGCAGTGGATTAAAGAGACTTCTGATGCTTGGGGAGCCTTATTTCGATTTATGTTTGAAGCAATCAAAACAGGCCTTCACGATACTTAATTGCTGGTTTGCACGTGCCGTCACAGTGGCCTTGTCGGTGGTTAAGAAGCGTTTCCTCCTCTGGGAACTACAACTCTATTTTCATGTAAATTGCTCGAGAAAAATTACCCCCAACATGGCCTCCTTGTCACGTGGTTGCAAACTAAGAATCATTATCCTGGCGGGATAATGAGAGAAAACCCGGGACAATTTCGTTAACCCTTTTTAGAAGTCCCATGAGTGACAAACATCAATTTTCTCCAAACAATATCCATACACAATCAAGAGAAAATGTTATGAGAATTAGAAAATTGATCACCTAAGGGAGAATGCATTGTATTTTCTCAACTTATTCTTTTCTAGAAATGTATAGAGACCAGAATTTTTATGTGGATATGGAGGCTTGAAGGGTTAGCCTCTCACTGAATGGCTTACCAAGCAATCCTCTGCTACTATTTTACAACTATTGAATGAGGCTGAGTATCATGAACACAACCTTAAAAATTTCACTTTTGCTCAGTTTACATAAAATTCGCTCATTAGATTTTCCTATAAACTTGCATAGATCTTACTATAATTAATCATTACCATTTCAAACTTATTCGACTAAATTTTAACCGACGGGTTTTTAGATAATCAATAATATAATTGTACTGTATTATTAAATGTGTCACAAAATTGGTCTGTTCAACTTCCATTTTAAAGTTCTCATTATTTCAAATACGATAAAAGTAAAAATTCTGCCAAATATCACAAAATCTTAATGAGTAGATTTGACAAATCATCTTCTTTGTACCATTGCTTTTTCGCCGCCATGTTTGTTTGTCTAATTTAAAAAATGCGCTGGCCCGCGAGTTACCGCTGACCGCCTGCAAAACTGTGTTCAGCCAAATGACAAAGTGGTAAAAAATAACATGCTGGAATACTATTAACAGCTCAGTAAACTGAAGAGTTTTTGTCATTTGTTGTTGTTGTCTCGTACTGTATCCACGGATCTGGCCCCGGTTGTTCAAACGTTGGATAGCACTATCCACCGGATAAATCACTATCCAGCGGATAAGTATTAGGGAAACCAATTGCACTATCCACTGGATAGAGATTTACCCAGTGGATAGTGCTATCCACCTTTTGAACAACTTGGGCCTGGTGTAAATCAAATAAAACTGAGGTGTGGTCGGCGAAGCAATTGACAGTGGTCCATGGCGAAATCCTTGAAGACTGCCTCATTCAAAATGGAAGCTTTTGGAGAAGATGCAAAGACAGACACTCACTTTCAGCCACTGACGTATGACGTGAACTAGTCGTGTGCCTCCAGCAGTCTTTTTATGGAGATATAATCAGTAAAATGCGGTAGTCGAACGTTATGACCCCTGCGCTTAGGGACCGGTCATTATTTATCGCCTTGGGGGGGGGGGGGGGGGGGGGGGGGGGGGG